ACTGGTATCGGGCGCCGCCTGAATACAAATATAGGTGATTCTGCGACTTACGACAGCTTTCCACCTGGCTTACATGGTAGATTGTCATACTGAACCGTTTTGAGTTTGTGGTTCCATTGGTTTTGGTGTCCACTGTGAGAGTTTTTGGTTCAATACTTGACAAAGGGCTTGTGCGACATGAGCTGTCCAAGGAAACTGTCACCCAGAAAATAATAAGCGTGATACACTCCAGTCCACTCCAGTCATTGTCCTGCTTTCCGCTTTTGGTTGCCTTCTTGGATTCTGCTTTTGGAGCTAGTTAGTACATTTGTCGCGGTATCTGATGGATAATGGAAGCATTACATATTTAATATTCAATAATTTCTAGCACTCAGGAATGCAGACTTTAAGGTCCCTGCAGTTTGTCGGTCAGTCATTCTTGCGCTCCCAGACAGGGATTGCCAAGCGAAATCCCATTTCGCAGAATTACATCGATCATGTGATGAAGTTTTTGCCAACTCTCCGGCAATATGACCTCCATCGTGCAGCGGACTTTCTCCACGCGTGGGTCAATGGCACTCTCGAATTGCAACCATTGCTTGACGTGTCCGCGACGCTAGGTTGTAAGCAGCCAGGGTGATGTAACTTTTGATGTCAGGTCTTATAGTTCATTTGCTCTCGGCTTGGGCTTTAACAACGGACCCCCCCCAAGTCTGGGAAGGTTGGGCCTATTTACCAAGTTTCGCGCCTTCTTTCTGGCACTTGGTGGGGTCTGTTGGTTGGGCCGGCGGAGGGAAGAAAATTGGCAGGGATTCATCAAGTCGGGAATGAAATCACAACCCCTGAGTCGGTGGGGAAAAAAGGAGCATTTAAAGGGGACATATGGGAGGACGTGTTTTTCATTGCCGATGCACAATGGAACACTATTTACTAATCCAGTGGTTGTCGGAGTGCTCTCAGGGAACCTTGAACTTGGCATGGTAAGTTTAAGCTGAGGTGCCTCAAGATACATGGCTATGAGCACAGGTATTTGGGCGCAAAGCGCCCTACTGACTTTGCGCCGAAGCCAAACCAGTTGAAGTCCCCTGACTGCGTGGCAAACCTCCCAAACATGGTTTTATGTCGTTTCTGTCATAGATGTATGTCCTTTCAACCAAGAAAGGCCAAGAGACCCTAAAAGGCAATTTTTGGGCGCGACCTTTTTAACATGGTTTAGAAGCTTTTTAGACATAAGAAAGGTCGCGTCCAAAAATTGCTTTGTAGGGTCTGTTGGCTCATGTTGGAACTTCTCGTTGTCAGTAGGGATGTGGCTCGTTGCTGTGGCAATGACTGCTGCAGGTTGATGAAGCCAGGGAAATCTGATCGTGAGGTGGGCACAGCTTACGCCAAATCATCTCGGAAGGCTATTGCTTTGGAAGCAGCTTGCTTAGCCTGGAGCCAGGGCGTGCCCTGGGCTGATGCCATGGAGATTTGCTCTAAATCTGTAAAAAAGGCTTCAGCCAAGCTGGTTCGAAGCTGACAAGTTCTCACTTGTATTCGACGTCAAGTGTCAACTTCGTAAAACACATTTCATGTTGCTCCGCTAACCTTTCTCGTGCAATTGGCAAGAACTGTGGTGTTGTCAGCTTCGGAAGTATGGGCATGGTTCCGGTTGAGTATGAGCCGCGGCGGAAAGCATGTAATGTTGAAACCGCTCCCATGCTGAAAGCATGTCGTTGAGCTCCCGAAAAAAAAGGTCCACTAGGTTTCATTTCTGTGTGAGGCTGAGGTCAAATAACTTGTCTGTATAGATCGCTGCCAGTCTGGACGTAGTTAGACTTCAGAGTGTTGACTCTGCTAGTGCCGTTGAGTTAATGCCATGAGATTCTTACAAAGCACACTTGAAAGAGACATCTTTTCAACACCGATGGTATATTTCATCGTGATCCTAAACCCTTTTCGTTTGAAAATTTGGGTGCGGCATGGTGATTTAGGGGGCAACACGTGGGAGTGAGCAACAAATCCAACACTCATTGCAGCCTACTTGGAGTGATGCCAGAGTGTTGAATCCGAGGTCGGATTCAACACTGTGACCTCGGTGGGGAACACATGACGCAACCAAGTGGGTTTTTTTGGGGTGTGTTGCTGGGGACCTGGGCCAGGTCAAAGTGTTGAATCCGACCTTGGATTCAACACTTCTGGTGGTGTGTGAGGGAGAGGCCCACAGTGTCGGATTTCAGCTGCTAGTCTCAGAGTGTCTGTGTTTGCGTGACCACCAAAGTGTTGGATGTGACATCACCCTGAACCATAGCCTTAGTCTGTGTTTCGCAAGGGATCCGCTGGTAAGTAATGTTCACTGCATTCCTTTGTAACACCACGTTGCAGGTTGGCGATGGGTTGCCTGCTGTGATGATTGCCTGGCGCTTGATGGATGCCAGTGGAAAACGGATATTTTGCTCATTCTCTTCTCTAGTTTTTGAGGCTGAAATTAGGTGCATGTAACACCCAATGCAAAATTGTGCCATTGATGTTTTCGGTTGCTCAAACCCTTCTCCTACTGGTTCTCGCCAGTGATTTGGTAGATTTAGTAGATGCATCGCGCCTGCCTGTCATACTGTGCAGCTTCAATGGAGGGACCAGAGCAGGGTGCTGACGCACAAACAGAAGCTCTCACCCTGGCGGGTTTCTACCGCAAAAACCCCGACCATGCAGAGAATGTGAGGGAAACAGCTGTGAAGGTCCTGAACATCTTTGGAATTCAGGCGCACTTCGTCCCAGTGCAAAACCTCGCCATTCAGCTGCTGCAAGGCAGAATCCTATCCAGAGACCCCTCTAAGTGGGGGGATGTGCAGGCTATGGGCCTGCAAGACTTGGGCGTTCGCGAGCCGTGTTATGACACCTCCCAGGGTCTGGACACTTTGAAACAGATTTCCATCCAACAACAAGAACTTTTGCAGCTTGAGTGCGGGATGTGTCGCGCGACTCTGGGTGACTGGATGTGGAACGGGAACATGGGTGAGAACTTGTACAAGTGCGTTTTCCAAGCTGAAAAGGTGTTTGCGGAGGTTCATCGCTATGAGCGATAGGCTAGCTTGCAAGCTAGCCAGAATCTTAGGTGGGTGTTTCTGCCCACCGACGGCTTCTAGGAGCGCAGTCATGGAAGTAGAAAAGCGACGACAATTCACCAGCCGGCTGTTATGTCTTCAAACAGTTGATGTACACTTTGAGCGCGTGGGTCATAGTTGTGTGTACCTCTCCGCAGCTGTTTGTCTCAATCAAGTGTCCTTGTCTTGAGATGTTGCCCAAAACACTGCCTAGAAAGCGAAAGTCTGGAAGTGGAGGGGGGGGGGCCCTCCAAGGACCTAAGGACTTATTGTCGCCCGGAACATGTCTCCAAGATCATGTCTTGGTGCCCGACTTATTTTGTGACGGTGCGAGTGAGTCAGTCAGCCCAACTCAAGCAGCGACTGATCAAACTAAAGTCAGGTTTCGGGACAACGTTATTCCGGCGGGTGGGCCGGATCGGTTTCTCATGAAGAAATATACGTCCCAGGACTCTGTTTGCTGAGTGTTTATTTCACGCATTCAAAAAGGAACTCTTCTGCTTGCCAACAATTTCAGACAGGTCGCCTGGTTCCAAATTCATTGACAGGACGAGATGATGGGCTTCGCAAAATGGATCGACGGAACTTTTCCTCCTGACCCAAGGCAAGAGATGGGCTTAGTATAGGAGTCTAGATTTCTTGCAAGGTGCGGGTTGCAAGCCTTGCAGGATTCATTATTGCGGTGAACTACTGGGTGGGGAATTTTGCGTCAGACCATGGAACCTCTCTTTCAGGACAGAGCGCCGTTCACTAGTGTTTGTGGGCCTTTTTTGACATGGCCACAGGACGGACTTCGGTATCGCTGGCTATGCCGAGCCAGAAGAAGCGTTGAATCTGGTAGAGCTTATCCTCATGGAGGGGTGGTTTGCTCAGATCAGGACATTTTCGCCAGTGTCGTCTCCCTTTTTGCAGCTTGCGATTGCGCCGCCTAGGTTTAGGACCAACAGTGCGTTGCCGGGGACTGAACGGCTAGCAGTGTGCAAGCCGGACTGTGAATTCTTGGACGACCCATATGATTGCTTGCCGCTCTTGGATGGTGCTGCGCTCGAATGTTTGTTTCTGTTTGCGAAAACCCTGATGACAAGATTGACTGTAGTTGCGAGGAACTAATGGAGTCTTTTATAGTGTTTTGCTGCTGCAATTTTTCATGGTGTGCGCTGAGTAGGTTTTTTCAAGACGCAACCCTGAACCATGTGGCAAAGCCTTTGACGTTCTGTCAGGTGATCTACTGGGCCCTTTCAGTCTGGCCTACATCAAGGGCTGGCGGCGATCCATTTGTTTTCTCATTTGCTTGGAGGCAGTGAGGTGCTTGAGTGTAAGTTTGGATGATCTGACAACAAGCTTCAAGGCTGGGCCAATGAATCCCACGAAAAATCAGATGGTGTTCATGTTTGTTGAACGCAGCCATTTTTGTGCATACGTGTTGCCGCGTGGCAGGACTCTGCGTCCACAGTTTATGTGTCCGCTTTGCGCTTCTCCAGCGCAAAGGAAAAGGTCTTCACCAACCGAGGACGGACGGCGTTAGTTTAACAGAGCCCGTCGCAAAGAATGTGGAAACTATTCATGTCTACGCAACCTGGCGAGCGCAGGAATCACAATGGGGAGCACGAGCACACGCAAGGCACCGAACTGCTTCAACTTCCTGCGCCAACTGGAGATCATCGAGCGATCTGGATCCCAGCCGGACTTTGTGGTTGCTTGGCCCAAAGACATTCTGGTCCCATCTTCGACGCGTCCCACTTTTTGATTAGACGGGTGTTTTTGGGATGAATTCAGGTATCAGTATCAGAAGTTCTCGCTACTGGTTCGTGCTTATGAAGTCACTGTCAGTCGAGGTGGAGGCCACTGTAAGGTGCTGCTAGTTGTAGTTACTAGTTACTCCCACCCAATGAGCAAGCTCTTGAGCTGCCCCAGGAGTGGCGCAACGCTTCACTCATAATGCGAGCGTTCTCGATTGGAGAGAAGGAGGCCCTTGCTGTCTCCAACTTGCAGGAGCGAATCTCCCCGGAGGTTACCGCCGCGCTGCGAGCTGAAGTGCGGCCGCGTGGAATGAGACGCTGGCTCTCCCATGAGATCCTGGCGAAGAACTTGTTCAACCGGGGCTTCAGCTCTGGTACAGGCTGCTGGGACGCCTGGAACGAGCAATTGACAAATGGGTCAGATGATGCGCTGGACCCTTGGCCCCACTGTCAGACAACAATTTTTCATCATTTGTCTACCTTTGTTCAGAGCAACAGTAACATCCCTGTTATGTGTTTGGATGGCCCGCACTCTTCTTTTTTCCAAGGTCAAACTATTCTTGCAACGTCTTACAGGCGACTGGGACAGGCAGCCAGTGGAACTGCGGAAAACGTGGAGTTTGAAAGACGCGCAATCCTTGCATGGAGCGTGCGGCTTCTTCTTGCACGTGATGGGAGAACTGGAGAGTCAGGTTGCAAGGAGTGATTTTGATGATTGCAAGGATGCCATCCTCTCGCAATTTATGACTGGATTCAGTGACCCGGAGATTGATCACTTGCTGCAAACCACAGTGCCGCCAGTGGAGCTCCGCGACATTTCTTTCTTGAAGCGCCCTGTTTGTTTCAGTCTGAGCTTTTATGTGTGTCAGGTGTTTGTCGTGATTCAAAATAGATACCGATGGCTTTGTGCGCTCTGGATTCAAGCCAGGAATGTTGTTGTGGCATTCGAAGCGCGGACGCAAAAGGAGGTAGAAGCCAAGGAGGCTGAGGCAGCGGCCCGCGTTGCGGAGGCCACATTGGAGCACTTGAAGGTGAAGCTGAACAAGGACCTGGAGGTGCTACGCGCGCGCGTTTCAACCCCAGAGCACGAAGCGCACGAAGCGTTGAAGGACCAGGCTTACTTGAGGGACAGGCAGCAGAAACTCAGTCCTGACCAATCTTAAGTTTTGCTTTTTGTTGGTCATTGATTGGTGTTCTGTTGTTGCGGCCTTCTGTGTGTCAATGGTTTGTTGTGGATGTGTTGGCCAGGAACGGGCAACAGTGGACCCGCGATTGGTTGGAAACTCATTGCAAGCTGATCCCAGTCGACCAGAGCATGAATTCTGCAATGCCCGAAATTGGACGTTTCCTTAGCAGGGTGTCTGGCGCTTCTGATGGCCGAACGTTCCTCGGCAGTCTTCGTGTGATTCATTGCGCGCGTTCGCCTGTCAACCTGCCATCCAAAAAACTGCCAGAGTTTCTATAAACCATTTTGCAACCAAACAAAAATGAGGCTGGTTTTGACTATGGTTGACTGCACGGTATGGCCATCAAACGCCACATACTTGCAGAGCGCTCTCCAAGTTGTCAAGAGCATTGTCAACCTCGGTCCTACCAATGCTGGCTTTGCTCTTCTGCCTTTGAGCCACCAAGCTATCAATTGGCAAGCGTTGCTGAAGCACCGTCGTTCGCTGGAGGATGGGCTGGCCAGCGGTGGGCTGGACATTTTGACTAACACCTCGGTCACGTACAGCAAGCCAAACTCTGCAGGGAACGACAAACGCAAGCTTGCGCAGCAAGCCCTTTTCCTCACCACAGCCAACACGCAGAGCGAGAATGTTTGGACCGCTTCCAGCGCATGGGTTTCCCAGACACTGGGGCCTGTGCCCTTGATCAAGATTTCGGACATGATCGGCTATGACAGCGACGTTCGCCCAACCCCTGGAGCTCGAACCGAACAGATGCCTGCCACGCACAAACAAATAATATATCTTTCTCTCTGTATATATACAATTTTCATAGTTGTATGTTTTTATTTTTAGTTGTTGGACGACGTGGTCATTTCCAGTTTTTGGGAATTGAATTCTTCTTTTATTGGGTGTTTCTGAGGAAGGGTGTGCCAGCTTTCAATGAGATCCTGAAGCAGATTCTGCAAGATGTAGATGTGCTGGAGCATGACAGGGTTGTGGTCCTGGATGTGGTGCCAAACAAGTCACGTGGTGGCAGTCAATGGCACAGTTTATGGCAGCAGTTAATTTGCTAGGTGGGTGATTCACGGTTTGGCGGTGTAACTGTAATTGGGTTTTGAAGCGCCCATCATATTGATTGTGAGGTATTGTGAAATGGGGCGGGCTGTGGTGCAGCGCCTTCTTGTCGACAAGGTCCGAAAGCCTGTCGTGAAGTATTGTGGGCTGCTGTTTGACAAGGATGGCCAAGATGCAACTACTATGATTGAGCAACAGGTCTATGACCTTTGGGATTCAAGTGGTGACGCTCCGCCGAAACGAAGGGAGCATGAGGAATTGCCTGCCCCTTCCTTGGATGTTCTGTCTTGGTCGAACGGAGTATGCCGATTCCCGGACAGCTTGTTTGACAGGTTTGTGGCTGGCACAGCGCAGTACCAAGAGCTGAAAGCGTTCAAAGACGAGGTTGTGGCCCTCTATCCTGATGCAGCCAGCACTTCAGCTGTCGCTGGAAGCGGACCGCTTGCTGTTCCACGAGCGGGGGGGCGACCGGACTATTCCATTGAAGGGGGGATGCGTCCTGTTGATTTCACCCGAGATGTTGACCCTCCAATCATCCGCGCGTCTGATTTCCATCATACAAGGCCCGGAATTGTGTTTTGTAGGTGAGTGGGGCTGTGTCTTGTTGTGCAATAAGATAGATATATATATATATGCTTATATATTTCTTGTAGATTCCTTTTGCTTTCCTCCTTGAGATTGGTGCCAGGTTGGCGTGGGTTGAAGGCTCCAAAGGGCGCCCGTCGTTGTTCGTGACAACGTCTATGGACCTGTTCATTGGAAACCCATCGGAGGGAGACAATCTGACCTTGAGTGGTTGCGAATTGTGTGGCTTCAACGTTGGTTCTTTCGAGGAGCGGATTGTTGCTGGAACTGGCGAGGCAGAAACCAACTGTTTGCCGTGGCGTTTGGCAGATGATCTTTCGCTGGTCATCAGCACCGAGCGGAAGCTCTTGAGCTTGGCCGACTTCATTCACCAGCAAGTGACCATACATGGCCTTGCAGACTTTGAGCTTCGTGATCACATGCTTTCTGCAAAGCAGCTTCCGCCTGTCATTCGATTCGGTTTATGACGCACACTGCACAAATAGAGATACTGTGTTCCCAAGTAGTATTGCCAATAGAAACTACCGGACTTTTCGATTGCAACTTGTTTTGTGGCAAGACCTGAGGTTGAAGAAGGTGCGCAACCCATTACTGTACCGTATCGGTATGTTGTCTCGCCCACTCCCAGCGGCAAGACCAATTGTTTCAAACCGGCAGCTCTATCCGACGATGCAGTCTTGAGGCGTTGGGGCTCTTAGAAATGAAGTGTTGGCAGACTGCTGCGGCATTTGCATTGAATATTTTTTGTATTTTGACAAACAGCAGGCATGCCAATTTCGGCGCCGTGTACTGCGGAAAGTTCAACAAGTTGCCCCGCAACAAGATCGCCAACGTAGTTTGGGAGGCACGTGGCTTCCAACTTTGTTCACTGGATGTTTTGATTCAAGCTAGCCCTGCTGGCGGCCAGGTCCAAACCCAGACTGGGACCGGACAAGCAAAATTCCTGGCGACGAAGCCGAAGCTGTTCTTGACCGCGACTGTTGTCATTCCTCCCCAGTCCTGGGTCAAGTTATCTTGACATTTTGTAGGCTGGTGATTTTTCAATCTTGAGCCTGTGGCTTGCCACGACCGCCCTTCCTCCTGCAAATGCTTTTGTTGTCGGCTTCATTCACATTGGTTCAATTTTTATGGGAAAAGTAGGAGGCGGTCCTAGAAGCAAGCCAAATTGAGATTTGACACGGCGTTCGTGCTGTGTTGCGAATGAGCTGGCAGTTCTATGTCCTTAGAGAGTGGCAGCAAACACACGTGTCAGGATGATTGCGCCATAGGTGCCGTACTCTAACTATTTCCACCCCTAACTTTAAAAAAAGGTGTTTGTTTTTTGACTTGAATGGGCCAGCGCCGGGTTCTCATCATTTTCTCGTCTATAGTTCGATGCAACGCATGTTGTTCATAACCATCAGGCTCAACAAGAGCGCAGCAGTCCAACTAGCTTGCTATTAGGTCAGACAGAACGCATATGGGAATTTTACCACCTGTAGCTGACCTGACGGCGTCAGAGGAGGAGGCGCCGTGGCATCGGTTCTTTCTTGCTTAGGGGCTGCTTGTCAGTGTTCGGGGATGGTGTTGATGTGATATTTTATATTTTAAATTTGGATTGACGGGGCGACAGGTGGCTCCACAGCCGAAGAGCATGGTGGTCGAGGAGCGTGAGGAGCCCGAGGAAGCTGAGGTCGCCAAAAAGGTCATGAAAAGACCTTCAGCTTTACGTAACCCGTTGAAGAGGCCAGCCCATGAGAGTGAGGCCACCGCCCCTGAACCAGGGACTGAGTCTGGAACCGCTGAGCCAGAAGCTCCTCAGCCAAAGGTCAGCCCAAAGGCGAAGGCGAAAGGACAGGCGAAAGGAAAGGCGAAAGGAAAGGCGAAGGCAGGTGCAAAAGCGAAGGCGAAAGGAAAGGCTAAAGGGAAGGAGGCAGCCAAGTCGACGGCGTCAGGGGGTGAAGATGCGACCATTGGTATCGTAGAGGCACCTAATGCCAAGCCCAAAGCCAAGCCGAAGCGGAAGGCAAAGGCCGCTGAAGGCTAGGTTCGTTTGTAGGCCCAAACAATGATCTACAACGAACAGTGAAAACAGTTTTGTTTTCAGTTCACTTTTTGGCACAGGTGTCGGCGTCGATGATGCTGACAGAAGGATCAGCAAGGTCTATTATTACAAGAAATCTGGTGTGTTCGGTGTGAAGGTGAATGGCTGGGAGATGATCAAGGCCAGTCGGCTTGTTTAATTTTCTTGCCTGGGACCTTACCGCATTCGGCAGCTGAGCAATTTGGAATTTAGTTTCTTTTGCAGGCGGGAGGAAAGCACTATGACTGGCACAAGTCGAAAGAGATTTGTGTTTGGGCCTTGCTTGCTCTTGTGTGTTTTTTTGATAAGCTGTTTCCTTTGCAGGAAATTGGCCACGCTCACTTGGTGAGGGGAGACAAGTGCGTAGATGTGCAGAACATCGTCGTTCCCACCTAAGTGCCGGCTCTTTTCATTTGTTCTAACCTGTGGCGTCTTATGTTTTGCAGATATGAACAATGTTCTGAGGCGAAACTGAAGAGCACACTTGAGTACAGCGCAGGAAACCGAAGCGTGGGTTTGGGCAGTATTAATTTAACTGAAGCAGTTTTTCCGGTCAATTTGTGTACGTGGTCATTGTCAGCATTGTGTTGTGCTGCGTCGCCTAAAAACCTAGAGGAGCTGGACTTGGCTATGACCCGGAGGATGCTGGCGCTGGTCCTGAAGTTGTAGAGCCGACAGAATTGCCTGAAGTAGTACCTGTCGAGACAGAACCTATGGAGCTCCCGCTGGAGGTTGATTTCAATGGAGACGACCAGCAGGAATTTGAGGAGGAGGAAGCCAAGGAGCATGACCCGACTGTCCTGGATGTAGATTAACCGGTGGCTGACCAGAAGCTCTGCGCTGAAAATGGACCCCTATTTCCGCATTCTTTGCTTTGGATATGTCTCTGTGTATCGAGTTTGGGTGGCATACTTGAAAGTCTTTGATGTTATGCGTGTCAGATCTCTAGCGGTTCAGTTGGAGGCAGCTCACAGACCTCACTTCCCCATTGATCGTTAAACATGCGCGTTCATAAGGACCAAAGAATGTACCATTGAAGTCCTCATATTTTGGGAAATCAACCGACTACTCGTAGCTGCGCAACTGCGGCCGGCAGCGTTGATGGTGGTGAATGCAACGGAGGCTGGTCAAGATCTCCTTGTTGTATGTTTTGGTTGGCCTTGAAGCGTTGAACTTGGCTCATCAAGGCCCATTGAACAGTACAATGTATGCCTGGTTTGGGTGGGCCCGCCGCCCAGAGTGTGTGCGTTGCCCTTCCACGTGGTCCTTTGCAGTGATGAGTAGTTCGAAATTCTGCTCTGTGGCCGTTTTTGGCCAGAGTTCCAGAGCTGAATGCGGCCAAGGAACCATCTCCACGGTGGGTCAGTCAGGCCAAGACAGGGGTGCAAGACTATACAGCGTTGTTGATGCTTTCAAGCAAAAGTTTTTGGGCCAGGAGTGTCGACTATGACGCTGAATCCTACGTGGAGGACTGCTTTGAACTTGGCTGACCAGCCGTCTGTGGCAGCCAGCTTCTGGAGTCTGGCAGGAGAACACATGGTGAGCGCTAGCGTTGAGTGCACCCATCCTTGCTGATTGTAGATCGAAGCTGGAAGTGGCTTTGTGTTCAAGGCTGAACTGAAGTTGAGATAGCAAGTCTTGAGCGCTCATTGTGGACGGTGGTTGCAAAAAAAATAGTCGCTCCTATATGGTGAAACACTATTAAAAAAATCACGGGTTGCTCAAGGCCACTTCCAGTCTGCCAGCCCTGCGTTTACGATGGATCACGGCACTGCGCCAACATCATGTGTTTCTACTGGCAGTTCTGAACACTATGAAGTTTTGTACATCAATTTTGTTTAGATACCTTTGGTGTGCACTCTTGTTGTGCACTTTCATTGGACCCTGCTGGGTCTCAAACACTTACTTGAGTAGGGACTCTGACACTCCTGGCGGTTGTTTTTGTGTGACATTCTGGTAAGACATCGCTTTCAAGAGACCACTTGCTGCAGCGGCGCCAGTGCCCAAGCTAAGCTCCCAATTGCACGTGGCCACACATCTGGCAGCGGCGCCCTGCAGCAGCACCAGCGCGGCAAGCTCTCAAGCGCACGCGGCCACACATTTGGCAGCAGCACCAGCACTCATTGTAAGAAGTCTCACACATGACACTCTGAGTGGCGCGGTGCAAGCGCACTTCTGGGCACAGAGCCTTCAAGACACCCAATTGTTTACAGACACCCATTGCAAAGCAAATTCCTTAACATCCTTCTGACCAATGTCATGGCTGGCCTTCCCTGCCTCCCGAAGAAACTGGCGCAGCCGCTGCGGAGCATCCAGGTGGGTGAGATCGTTGAGCTTTGCCTCAAGTTTGACGTGAACAAGCTCACCCCGCCGGCCTTTGCTCGCATTGTTGAGGTCTATTCCATTGCCAAGGCCAAGCACTTGGCGCAGGAGATTTGGGAGGCCAAGCACTTGCCCAAAGGGGCGCGCTCCATGGAGAAGCTGACGACCCTCCCGGAGGTGGAGGACAAGCTGCCCTACATGTGCGCCAGCTGCTTCACGAGCTGGATCTTGCCGTCCGCCAACGGTGGATTGTGTGGAGTCGATTGCGGGCTCGGACTACAAGAAGAAGCAGTTCAAGGACAAGAACAGTCATGTCTTCTGGGGCCGCCTGGAGTGTGGCCTGATTTTGAGCTCGATTTCCCCCTGGGATGTGGTCACCAAGGAGAGTGGAGTCACCCGGGGCGGCTATGTGTGCAAGCACTGCAAGGGCTTCTGGAAATCCAAGAGGGGCTCCAGCCGCTTTGTCCAGATCCAGGGCCGCCACAAGGGCAAGCGGGTGTCCCTCCAGCTGATCCTGGATGAGCCCACATCGAGCCCCAGGCTCCCCTCCGAGACGAGTGTTTGGACATTGACCCCAACACGGTCAGTCGGCTTCGCTTCAGCCGGGTCAACGGCATGC